AGATGATTTTTTGCCTCTCTTGAAAGGCAGCTATTTACCCACCTGCCCTGGCAAACTGCCTGGCCTGCTGACATTTATTCTCGGCCGCCGTGACCAATAAAAGCTGACGTTTGTTGTGAGCTGGTGGGGCAGCACCCTGTAATGACCGTCCCTGTCCTCTTGGCCCACTCTGCCCACCTGGGCTTCGTCCTGGGTCCCCTTCACTGAGCCGATTGGTCCCCGGTCCCCTTCACTGAGCCGATTGGTCCCCTGTCCCCTTGGGGCTACTCTGTGCACCCACAGGCCACTACGAAGCTCCAGGTAAGAGGATTTTACTGCCCCGTACCGCACGAGGGTGTCTGAGTGTTTGTAGCAGTGCTGTGGGGACGGGACCTCCTCGACCCCATTTGTTTATAGTTTGGGGCAGACTAAGGAGTAAGTGCAAACATATAGCCTTTTGTGAAGTGGGAAACTGTTCATCTCTGTAGGACTCTCCATCGGTGCAGGTTTGCTTTAGAAAGAGGGGTTGAAGGTGGGGGGCATTCGCCCTCCTGTCTGTTTACAACCTGGGTGAGTTGCCCAGGGTGGAGTGTGGGAGTGCCCTGACTGCGGCCGTCGGGTCTGCTCACTGTCTACCTCACTCTCCCCTTGTCAGCGGGGAGTTCCTTCCATCCTGAACCGTCCTGTCCAGGCTCCAAGGAGGGTTTGGGTTGCAGCCCCGGCCTCAGCCACGCGATTGATGGGAGCTCCTTGTGGGTGAAATGAACAGGCCCAAGTGCCCGGATCTCCTTCCCTTCCTTGGGGAGAAACACTCAGCTCGGCGCTGAATTGATTTGCTCTTACAAATGCTGAGCTGCCCGTCGAGGGCACGGGGTCTGTGCTGGCCGGAGAGGAGCATCCTGCATCTGTCCGAAGTGCCAGTTGGTTGGCTTTTTAAAAGCCGATCTCAAAAGTCAAGATCTGTTCCCTATGGGAAACCATCTCAGAGGGTCCCCAGTCCATGTCTGGGGGCCCTTGATGGCCCTGCTCGGATTGGGGTATGTGGGCCCTGCCTGAATCCTTGGGTCTGAGGACTGAGAGATTGAGGTGGGTCCTGCAGATGAGGAGCAGTGTTCTTTTAGGAGTTTTCGGCTAAATCCTGAATAGCCAGTCTGGTCTGTGGTTGTTGGAAGTGTGGGGGCTTTCCCAGGGCCCTGGTTGACTTTCAGGCGGCACCCCCGAGTGAGCTTGCGGTGCCACCCCTCAGAGGGCGGCAGGAATGCTTGTGGATTTTGTGAGCTCTGTGGTGCTTCCCCCACGGGCCCAGCTCCTGACGGACTGCGTCTGCCTGGCTAGAGAGCCCGTTGCTGCCCATGCTGCCCTCAGGTTGAGCAGTGTGCCAGCCCTGCGCCCGTGGAGGGAGACGCCTGCTCAGTGACGATGAGTAGAGCTAGAGCGGGTGCCTCTTCAGGTGACTTTCTGGTTTCACATTTTGAAGTGAACACTTTTTATGAATTTCTTAGTTACCTTAGATTCAAGGAAGATCGGGTTTTTCCTTATCTAAATACCTTTCCCGTTCTAAATACTGGCACTGAGCACCGGCAGTAGGTCCATCTCACGCCGTTCCCTATTGCATTCTGGCTGCACAAGCAGCCCCCGCTCTCCAGTGGCACGGGAACCCCCGGTCTGTCAGTTTCTGTTTCTCACCTGCCTGTGTGGTCTCTCTTGATCCCATATGGTTGCGACCTGGTGAGAACAGCATCTACACTCCTCTTTTACAAATGAGGTGACAGGGCTCGGAGTGGTTGAGTCATGTGTCCAGGGTCACACGTGGACCGACGATGGACCCTGGGCCTGTCATCGGCCACACCAAGCTCCCACGGGCTCAGGCAAGGAGCCTCAGGGGTGCAGCCGGGCAAGGCCCTCTGGTCGCCCTCCAGGTTAGCCGTGGACTGGTGACTTTTGTTACTGCAGTGCGTCTGAGCACACTGCCCACCCCTTCTGTTGCCAGAACCAGAGTACAAAGGGCACCTCTCTCCAGCTACTTTTCTGAAATCTTACTTGTTTGCAAATTGTTAACCCCAGAATCTTTTGAACTTGAAGTGTCGGCTCCTTTTCCTAACCAATGCAATTGCATTTTAATTAAAGTTGAGATTATAAGTTGAAAATGGCCTGTTTACTGATTCTTTAGTTTCGTTTATACAACCCACAAATATTTGCTGTCTACTGTATGCTAGGCTCTCTGCTAGGTGCCAGGTCCATAAGAGTGAAAACAAAGATGTTTAGTGGGCAAGGAGACATTTCACCAGTGAACATAATTGATTGGTTAAATAATTGATTAATTAGCATTTTGAGTTTAGACCATGTAATGGAATTTCAAAGCAATAGCCTGAACATATATAACAGATATTGATGGTGACTTTTTAATTTAAAAAGGCATATTCTTACACTGTTGAATGTTAATTCTTTGGATACAAATAATTCCAATGTTGGAAGCCAAAAATGGGTGGTTCTACTGGGATTTATTATAAGATGTTGGGATGCTTTGTATCTGTTTTAGGTATATTTATGTAACTAACTAAAAATTACTCGAAGTTTTTTCTGCTCTTGGACATGTGCCTGTTTTTCATTTTTTTTAACATTGAATTGTTTTGTAAGCTAACGTTTCTGCTTAGAAATACAGCAGGGACTTCTCCCTATAGCAGGGACGTGAAAGCTCTCCCCCGCATGGTCGTTTCCACGCCCACAGCAGTGCGTTTACTGTCCCGCACGCCACGCGGATGTAGCCATTTCTGGGGGTGGTGGACTGACTCTTGGTGCTCTCTCCTAGGCCAACGAGGTGACGGACAGCGCGTACATGGGCTCCGAGAGCACCTACAGCGAGTGCGAGACCTTCACTGACGAGGACACGAGCACCCTGGTGCATCCCGAGCTGCAGCCCGAAGGGGACACGGACAGCGCAGGCGGCTCGGCTGTGCCCTCCGAGTGCCTGGACGCCATGGAGGAGCCTGGCCACGGCGCCCTGCTGCTGTTCCCGGGCAGGTCTGTGCTCTGCCTCGGCACGCCTGGGTATTGTGCACAGGGCACTGTGTGGACGTGTCTGACGGGCAGATTTGGTTCATGGAGGGGTTTGTGTCAGAGAGTGGTTTAGAATCGTGACAAGGCCTGCAGGAGGGTGTGGACCCTGAGTGTGGCCTACAGTCCTGGGGAGAGCCCATGCCCAGCTGCCCTGAGCAGTCTCCCGGTCACAGCTGACCTCCCTGTCAGGAGATGCCCCTCCTGCTGACAGCAGATGACCGTGGTTGTAAACATCGCACAACGTCTTTGGCTGTCGAGATAGAAATTGTAGGAGAAAAACTTCAACTCGGTCTTTTGGATTTTCTCATCACGGTTCTTATAAACCAGGGCAAGACGCGATATTCAGTGAATGCCTTCCTGCAGGATCTTAGAACCTGTCAACCTTTACAGCACCCCTAACCAGGCCTCCTGTTCCTGTCTCCCCTCCCGCTGCCCCAGGTGCGCCCATGCATCTGAGGACTGGCGAGGGGAGGGGCAGGGTCGGGAGGTGCCGTGGGGCACATGGACCCGAATGAGAGCTCATGGTTTTGCCCTGTGCCTCTTGGGAAGCCACCCTGCTTAGCAGCCTTGAAAGTGGTTTGGTTTTATTTTGCTTATTTTATTTCATTGCATTTTTGTTTGGCCCTCACAGAGTTTTTGGTCTTTTCTCTTGAACTGAAGTATTGCATCCCAGCATGCGAGCGCCCGTCTAAGGGTGCAGACGCGCCCGCACCCAGTGCCCCCCACTCCCTCCCCGGCGCCCTGCTACTCACGGCAGCCTTGCCTGGCCTGGTTTTGGCTCCGACTACGTGTTGTCATACAGGGGTATCCTCTCTATACTCGCTGCTCTCACTTTATGTTGTGGCTGAGATTCATCTGTACTTTTGTGCACAGTTGTAAATTGTTTACTTCCATTGTTAGTAGAGCATTCCATTGTGTGAATATGCTGCAGCTTCTTAATTTATTGTTGGTGGGCATTTGGGCAGTTTACAGTTTTGGTTTTTTGAATAAAGCTGCTATAAACATTACCTGTCTTCCGGTGGCCTGGTTTGTCCCCAGGAATGGGAGAGGCGCACCTGGAGCACACTCGTGCTGCTTTAGAAGTTACTGCACTTACTGCCAGTTCAGTGATAGAGGGGGTAATGGTCGCTGCCTGCCTGCCTGCCACCTGTGGGGCTCTGCCCGCCCCTGTCCTCGCAGCACCTGGTCTTGTCTGCTTTCCTGTGTTTGCTTTCTGGAGGGCGTGGAGTGGACTGTCCCTGGGGGATAGTTCTTTCTTGCGTTTCCCAGGTGACTAATGAGGGTGAGCACCTTTTCTTGTGTTTATTGCCCATTTGGAAATCCTCTTTTGTGAAGTCCTTTACCCATTTGTTTATTGCAGGGGTCTGCACACTTTTTCTGTAAAAGGCCAGATAGTGGTCTCCGTGGCTACTCCTCAGCTCTGCTGTGGGGGTGCGAGGCAGTGCCTGAGTGAGTGCCCCCAGCTGTGTCCCCGTCCAGCTCTACATAAACAGGCCATAGGTGGGGTTGGGCCTCTCCCGTCTTTTTCTTATTGGTTTGTAGGAATTCCTTATATATTTTAGGTTTGAGTCTTTGGTTCAGTATGTGTATTACAGGTATCTTTTTCCAACTCTGAAGGTCATCTTTTCACTTTCCTGGTGCTCTCTTTGAGGAACTCATGTTTTTAAAAGTTTTACTATAGTTCAGTTTATCCATTTTCCTTTTGTGGTTAGCACTTCTGTGTTCTGTTTAAGAAATCTTTGCTTACTTCACATCACTATGTTTACTTCTCCTTTCCTTTAAAAGGTTTATTGTTTTACCTTCATATTCAGATCTGTAGTTTCTCCATAACTGATTTTTTGTGTATGGTGTGAGATAGGGGCCATTTTTCCCATATGGATATCCAATTGACTCAGCCTCATTTTTTAAAAGATTCCTCCTTCCTCCACTGTCCACGTGTCACCTTGGTCCCACGAGGTGGCTGAACGTGTATGGGCTGTGTCTGGACTGTGTGCTCTGTTCTGTGTTGTTTTGTCTACTCTCGGGTCAGTACACGCTGTCTTTTGCTCCAGCGTTGTCGTAGATCATGCTGTCTGCTGGTGTGAGTTCTCCAGCCTTGTTTTTCAAGGTCGCGTTGGCACCCTTTGGCCCTTTGCATTTCTGTGTAAATTTTAGAATCAACTTGTTTGTTTCAGGAAAATAGTATCTGCTGGGATTTGGGTTGGGGTTGTGTTGGATCTATGGACTAATTTGGGGAGAATCAACATCTTCACAACATTGGGTCTTCCGATCTTTGGACGTAGTATATTTCTCCGTGTGTTTGGGTCTTCTTCAGTCGGATTGTCACGTTCGGGGTGACCTCCTGGTGGAGGTGAGGTGGGATGTGCATTCATGTGGAGCCAGGCAAGCCCCTGGGCTCTGCCGGGACCCGGAAGTACATCTTCCAGGGGCACAAGCCCAGCACGTGTGGAAACGGGAGAGTGAAGTGACAGCCACTCCAAGTGCCTTGTAGTGATGGGGACAAAGACAGCACAACAGTTGAAGTGTGAGGATAAGACACAGAGGGACTGGCAGTACCGCCTTTGCCTGTTGCTTTCTTATCAGTATTTTTTAAGGTAATAAGCTAAATTCTTCTAATTAAATTTAATTCAAGTAAAGTAGTCCAAGAAAGTTGAAGAAATGCCAAATCTGGGAAATCATTATGAGGTCTTAATTTTTCTCAGGAAAGATTCAGACTACGCTGTTGTGCTGCATAACACACTTGCCCTCAAGATTTGTTGAAATCACGTTAGTGTCCAATTGGAGAGATATTTTCTGTTTTCAAAAGCTTACCAGTGGCGAGGATGCTGATTGTCAGCTGATGTCACTGGTTTTCTGTCGACTCAGTACAGAAGTGCCGTCCAGTGTAGTAACAGCTCTGTGACTCCTCGGCTCCTCAGTGTGATGCGTGTGGCCCTCATCGCTCTCCCATCAGACATGAGGAAAACTCAACCCCAGGGGAGGCAGCTAGAGGAGGTGGGGGCTCTATTCTGAGGGAATAGCAGGCCTTGTCCTCGTGGGTCACGCGGACGTGGGTCCTCCAGCCAGGAGGGGCTCCTCGGCCCCGGGAGCACTGTGTGTCTCCTCGCGATGACTCACCCTCCTCTCTGAGGGCAGTTTCCTCATGGGGTCTGAGCACGTTGATAAACAAGCAGCTAATCTTAAGAAGCAGAAAACGGAGTCTTCTTGTGTAGAGCTGCATTTAAACGGTGACTGTTGGAAGGAGTGATTTCCTCCTGTCTCTGTGAGCAGATGAGAGACTGAATGCAGACAGGGACTTGGAAACACTGAGGGGAGCCGTAAGGTGTCCCGAGGTCACGAGGTCTTGGTTTATTCTGGTGGGGGCTTCAGAATGCACCAAGGGAACAGCATGTACGTTTTCACTGCTCCTGAAAGCGTGTGTGGAAGACATTGTGATTTGGCCCCAGCAGCCTCAGGACTGCTCAGTAGACGTGCCCGTTCGTGGCCAGGAGATCAGAACTTGCTCCGCGTGTTGAGCCGCGTGGGCCTCGGGGAAGCACAGAGACCCCGGTGCCATCCCCGACTCTGGGCACGCGTGGGCGGTCACTTCTCTCTGAGGCCCCCTTTCCTTCTGAGAGGGACAGCTCTAGCGCCTGCTGGCAGATTCTCGTGGGGATTAGTGGTGACAAATTGAATCCAGCCCCGGTCCAGGGGAGCGGCTGCCATCACAGCTGTTTTCTGTTAGCACCTGTCACCACGGGTGGGCAGGGCGGCAGCCGTGTGTGCGGCTGAGCCCCAGGACCTCATGCTGAGCGCCTGGCCTGGCCCAGCAGCCCTGCTCCCTGGAGGGTGAGTGTGGAGCAGTGACCTCCCTCAGAAGAGGGCGGGTGCTTGCACACTTCCCTTCCCCTGCTTGGAAGCTGCTGTTCTGGGCTTTAAACTACAGCAGAAGTTTGCGCTCACAGTGGCCAGTGGTGGCGTGAGGACAGCTGCTCCTGGAAGAAGAGCGTGGGGGGTGCATGCCCTCACCATGGGTCTGCAGCTACAGCTGACTGTCCAACCTGTGGGCCTCCTGAGCACTTGCAGTGCGGCTGGTGCAAGCCGAGATGTGTTGGAAGTACACAGTGAACGCCAGATTTCAGACTTATTATGAAATAAAGAATGTAAAAAATCTTGCTTTTGAAATGAAGATATTTTGAGGATGTTGGGCTAAGTAAAATATGTTGTTAAAATCGATTTCACCTGTTCATTTACTTTTCTTTTTAACATGGCCACTAGAACATTTGACCTGACGCATGTGGCTCACAGCACACGTCTGCTGGAGGGCACCGGGCTCGCCCTCGGTCTGGGGCTGCCGGTGGTCGTGAGTCAGAATGTGTCCTTTCTCTTTTGCCTCTGCAGATCCCACCTGCACAGCCAGTCCATCGTCACGGTGATAGGTGGTGAGGAGCATTTTGAGGACTATGGCGAGGGCAGTGAGGCGGAGTTGTCTCCGGAGACCCTCTGCAACGGGGAATATGACTGCAGGGAGCCCGCCTTTCTCACCCCCCGGTAACACAGCCCTGCTCCCTGCCCCTTCCCCTCCCTCGTCTTCCCACGTTTGCTTGTGAGGAAGTGTCCCCTTTGGGTACATAAATTGGTGAGAGAGAACTTGTTTTATTTGCTGTAATATAATTAAACATACCACAGTCAAAATGTGAAGATTTACACCTGAATGAAAGTTGGCCCAAGTTTCTCTCGTCCAGTTATGTTTTCAGATCACTCCAGTTTTCTGAGGCCTCAGCTGCGTCACGTGGCACAGAGCCCTTTGGCGTGGATCACATTACAGTCTGTAGGCAACTCTGAGGGAGGCTTTGTGTGTGTTTGTATGTGAGAACATTTAGGTTCTCCTCTCAGCAGATTTCAGTTACACCACACAATGTTGTCAGCTGCAGTCGCCACGTTTTACGTAGATCCTCAGGCCTTGTTCCTCCTGTAGCTGAGAGCTTGTGCCCTTTGAGCAGCCTCCAGGGGAGGCTTTAGCATCACAAAGGGTTCTTTGGAGTCACATCCCCAGACTCTCTGGAAAGTTCTGGCCTCGAATGAACTGAACTGTGGTATCTAGAAGGCGAGGCCTTCCTCATGGAGCTGGTTGCTCCCTGGCTCTCCTTCCTCTCAGTGCTGCACAGGAGGCCCTGGGAGAAAGCCGTCACTTGTGCTGTGTCCCGTGGGCCTGGCAGCCGTTCGCTGGGGGCGGCCGTCAGAGGATATGCCTGCCTCTTCAGGCGAGGAACAGCCTGTCCACCCAGTCTCCTCTCCTCTTTGTGCCTGGTTCTTGAAATTCTCCATCTTTGCCAACAGCAGAGGCTGAGTATCTTTAAACTGGTGACTGTGAGGTTCTCCTTTGCCCAGACTGTCACCTGGGCCAGAGGACCGGGGTGGGGGGGTTGGGGGGGACAGTGCCAGGAGGGCTGCCTGCGGGAGCCCCCTGAGTTCTCCCCGAAGCTGCCCTCAGCCGTGCGCCACGCGTCTCTGGGAGCTGTGTGTGAGCGAACAGCGTGCTTGCTCCGAGTAGCTCTCCTGTGCCGATGCGCACGTTTGTGGGGTGTTGAAATGAAGACCCGAGGACCCGGTCTTGCCAAACATGTGTTCTGTCCTGTGTTTGCGATCTTTTCCCGCTTGTTTAGTTTCTGCCTGTCTCTTGTCCAGTGTTTCACTGTTTGTGTCTCCAGGGTAACTTCTGCACTACCATCGATGTTTGGCTTTAACCTTTCTTTAAATTGCACTTCCACATGGGCTTCCAGAAGCGCCAGGGACATTCCTGCAGCAGACGCATCACCAGTGCCGAGAGCCTGTTAGAGCGCAGGAGGCTAGTAGAACTCTGCGTTTTTAATGAAGTTCTTAAAAATGACAAAATCATTGGTGGTTCATCATCCACACGCAGTTTTTGATGCTGGTGGTTTTGAGAACAGTTATAAAATAGTTCCAGTCCAGGAGGGAAGACTCCACCTGGAGACTTTGTGCTTTGCTCTCACATGGACAAAGGCGAAAGCGGTGTGTCTGGTCACTTCTTGTTAAAGAGGGGTTTTTGTTGTAAGTGAAGCTGATGGCTGCACCTGTTTCCTCTGAGCACCTGACCAGGAGGGAGGAGGTGTTGCCAAGCCCCCTGCTGCTGAGCTGGTGTGATCCTGGGTCCTAGAGGTGACGAGGGAGGTGGGCTCACACAGTCTGAAAGTAAGAGCCACCATCTTCCCAGCCAGTTAGCCGACAGCGTGCTTGTGTCCAGCCCTTGTGTGGAGTCGCAGACCCCTGCAGGTGCTCTCTCCTGACCTGACGCTTCTCCTCTCTCCAGCACCGACCCGCTTGCCGCAAAGCTGCACAGCATCCTCACTGATGAGGCTTTTGAGTTTTACTGTAGCCAGTGCCACAAACAAATCAACCGCCTCGAGGACCTCTCTGCTCGCCTGAATGATCTTGAAAAGAATAGGTAATCGATGGAGTGCCTGGCCTTGCTCTTTCTTCAGGGGTAAGGGCTCTGCCTCGAGGCGCCGCTCAGTGGGCCGGTCGCTCTGGGGTGCCTCCTTTGGAGGCTGGGCCTTCTCTGCAGTTGCAGGTGACCGTGCGGACAGTGGGACTCTTCCTCGGGCCCTGCCTGCCCCCTGCATGCGCTGAGCCTGTGTTTAGTGCCCTGTGCCCTCCTTGTTCCTGTGTGCATGCTGCAGTCTGCTCAGCTGCTCTGTCCCTGAGAGAGGAAGTGAGCTTTAGACGCTGTGTCCTGTGTGGGAAGTCCAGCAGGTGAAAGAAGGTCTGCACTGGGAAAGAGAGACTTTCTCCATTTTACTGAAAGATTTCTGTAATTGAGAGTCAATGAAACAGCCCTGAATTTACAGTAAGATTTGGTCCGTAAACACAGATTTGTAATCAGGAACGGTAGTTTACATCAGGTGCGCATACCCCAGGCGAGCCCCTCCCCTGAACTAGTTCTTGTAAGGCTGCCCCGGGCTCCGCTACTTGGAAGAGTCCAGCTTCGCTACCCTGCTTTTAAAACGGGCAGCAGGTCCCCAGCACGTGCCTACTGCTCCCGGCCCTGTCAGTCCCCATCGGGTTTCTCTTCTCCATCTCCTGGTTCCGGTTTGTGTCAAAGCTATTGTCTTCCCTCTCCATGCCCTGGGCCCAGTCCCAACTCAGGTCAGGGTCCCAGAAGGAGACAGGTCCTTTTGCTGGCTCCTCACAACTTCACAAACTCCTGTTATAGAAAGCACTTTTGAGTGGTTTGCACATATTGATGTGTCCTTGAAGCATACTGTTGACTTAGCCTGTTGTATGGGCAAGCCCCTGGGTGGGCCGCTCTGAGGAGGGTCTGGAGAGGAGATGGGCTACCCTAGAGCTTACCACAGCCACCTGGCCCAGCAGAGCAGTGCACGACCCACAAAGAGCTCTCACGCTGGACAGGAGGGGATCGCACGTGCTGATCAGTGATGTGGACTCCTGGGCACGAATCTGGGGCGGCTTCCTGGAAGAAAGGCCCTTGGACTGGCAGGAGGTTACATAAAAGGTGGGAGAAAGGTGAACCATCCTGATGGTTTCAGCGTGTTTAGAGTAGTCTTCTAAAAACCGCTTACCTGTCTTGAGGAGCCTGCCCCTTTAGGGCCTCAGCCAAGGCCAGCTCAGTCTTCCCAGTGGATCCTCATGGCTGACGGCCCTGCTATACCTGCTGTCCTGCCTCTAGTTCCAATTCCAGCACATTTGATGTCTTTATCCCTTTTTCTTTTTCTTTCTTTCTTTCTTTTTTTTTTTTTTTTTTTGGTGAGGAGGATTAGCCCTGGGCTAACATCTGTGCCCATCTTTCTCTATTTTATATATGGGATGCTGCCACAGCGTGGCTTGATGAGCGGTGTGTAGGTCCGTGCCTGGGATCTGAACCTGCGAACCCTGGGCCGCCGAAGCAGAGCACGTGAACTTAACCACTACGCTACCAGGCCAACCCCTATCCCTTTTTCTTATGTTCTGTGCAATGCTCAAAACACAGGCTGGAGTCCAGCAAATGCCCGAACAGGTAGAGAGGATGGGACAGGACCCCGGCATACTTGGCCAGTCAGCAGCCTCAGAGGGGAGCTGGGGGGGTCCCAGCAGCACTGATGAGGAACTAGAAGTGCTCTTTGAGGGGGGGCTTCCTGGGAGACTTGAGAAAATGTGACATCTGCTAATTCCAGAGACCCACTGGCCTGTGTTTTAGGGACAGCCAGTGTTTACCTCTGTGTGTGTTTGCGTGTTGAGTGCTTTGGGAAGGTCGCTTGACCTGGCTGGTGAGGGGTCATTTGTCCTTCCTGCATGAAGACTTGCCCTCCTGCTAAGTGGGTCCAAGTGCAGGTCTGTCGTCTCTGTATTTGAGAGTGGCATGGAGACACGCATCTCATCTCTCCTCCTCCAAAGACTGTTGACGTAGAACTGATCTTTTCCCAAGTTGGGAACCTGCCCAGGATGGCCGTGGTCACATCTGCTAGGCTTTGTGGGGCAGAGAACAGACTAGGACATGGCTAAGTATGACCAGCAAGTCCAGTGGAGTCTCACGTCCAGTCACCCGTTCCCTAAGAAAGACTCTCCCAAGGGGTCAATATACCGTTCAAGTCATTATAATCAAGACACAACTGTCAGTCAGGAGATTCCCACTAAGCACCAAGTTGAGGAGATCTGAATCTTGTGTGGTGGTTTCCATAGAATTGCCTCAAAATAAATGTATTTGGTCATGGTTTGTGGGTGATAAAAAGTGATTTAGTCCAAACCTTATCTGGAAGCTTTGACATCAGGTATAATTTCTGCACAGTGAACTTCAGAACCTGCCGACAGCTGTTATATTTTCCAGGTATCTGGGAGCATCTATGAAAACAATTCATTTTGTAGAAATTAAGAAGACTGCTTTCCCCAGGAGTTTATTTTCAAATTCTAAACCCTGTCACGGGCCGGCTCCGTGGCTTGGCGGTTAAGTGCGCGCGCTCTGATGCTGGCGGCCCGGGTTCGGATCCCGGGAGCGCCCCGAGGCACCACTTCTCCGTCCAACGCGAGGCCGAGTCCCACGTACAGCAACTAGAAGGATGTGAACCTATGACATACAACTATCTACTGGGGCTTTGGGGGGAAAAACTGAATAAATAAAATCTTTAAACCCTGTCACTGGACTGCAGGTCCAGTTCCTGAGAGGCTGACAGGTAAACTGAATAGTGAGTCTGTCCGTCCCACATCTCAGGGAGTTTCGGTGGTCTTAGGATGAAACAGGTTTGTGTTAGAATATACAGTGTCAGTCAGGGTCCAGTCAGGAGAGGGGGGCCACTGAGTAGTGTAAACGTGGAAAGTTCAATGAGAAGAATGACTGACTGTAACAGGGATTGGGGTGACGAGGCATCCGCTAGTAAGATAAAAGAGGGCTCAGAAGAACGCAGGAGCAGCGGCCCTGAGGAGCAGCCCCCCAGGGCTGAGATCGGACCCTGCTGCAGAGGGGAGGGCCCTGGCAAACTGGGTGGCAGAGATGTCACCATAGTGCCACACTGGCGGGATTTGTTGAGAATCTGCCTTCTAGAACTTGCTGGAAATCTGCCCTCTGGCTGCCAGGAAAGCCCTTCCCTGGAAGGGGTCTCACCAGAAGCACTCAGCTACAAAACCGCCCGAGGGGGTGTCGGTCCAGCCACTTGCTGCTGCTGGGCACCGGCACTGGGCAGGCTGCTCAGGCAGGATGCTGAAGTGTGAATAGCAGAGCCTCAGTTAAAAGCAAGGTGCCACCAGGGAGCACCGGGAACCCAGAAGCAAACCTTCCTCCTGCCATGTCTCTCCCCAGCGCTCTCTACCCACAAAACTTCACATTGCAAAGGGCCCAGATCCATTTCCACAGAACAAGTAAAAGGATGAATTTGGAGCTGAGAGGCAATAAATTGGTGACTGGTACAGCATGTATTTCTCTCTAAGTAGACTTTCCTACCCAAACCTTAAGAGAATTGTAGGTGTGTTTGAGATGAGAGAGCTGATGAGAGATGTGGCCTGTCTGGCTCTTCTGAATTCAAGACAGTGGTTGTTCTCATCCTTGGAGAGATGACTTGTATCTTCTCATAGGTTGAGGCTAATAGTTTAGCAGTCAAATTGGAAAATAAAACTTTGGACTTCAGAAATGAGAGAGAAGGTAAGTTGGGTTGTTTTTGCCGCTGCAGATGGGTACGTCAGACAGACGATGTGTAATGTGCTGTATTTACTGCCCTGAAATGGCAGCAGGAGAGGTTTCCCAGATCACTGCCAGGCGGGCTTCTAGAGTGTGAAGTACGGGTGCCTCAGTTAAAACCGACGACAGGACTTTCCTTTACAGACAGGGCGTGTCACGTTTCATGTGGGGGCCTCTGATGGCCAAGAGTTTAGAGGGTAATTTGGCTTTAAAAGCATTTGGGACATGGCGTTGGCTGATGGCTCAGACCCCATGCAGCAAGCTGGTGGGTCCAGATGCTGGGTCGGCCTCTGGACGAGGTCTGGCTGTGGCTCCCTCTGAAATCTCTTTGGGGGTGGAGTAATGTAACTTGCTGAGGCCTTGACAAGCCCCTCGTAGCTCCCGCCTCCCTGAACGTTTTGCTGAGTGGGCCTTTCTGTGCATGGAGCTGCCTCAGGGCAAGGTGGTGCATGCCTGTGGACGCCCTCATCCCCGTATCTCTCCAGCCTGAATTTCCTGTTTCCTCCCGTTCCTCCCTGTCTGTTCTCTGACACTATTTTCCTGTTTATTTTGATTTTGCACAGTCCAGCGAAGCGGCTCTCCAGCAAGAAGGTGGCAAGGTAGGAGACCCTTGGTTCCTTACTGGGATGTTCTTCTGAAATGTAATGCTAATCATAGCTCTTTAAGAACATGTTTAGGGCCGGCCCCGTGGCTTAGCGGTTAAGTGTGCGCACTCTGCTACTGGCGGCCCGGGTTCGGAACCCAGGCACGCACCAATGCACCGCTTCTCCGGCCATGCTGAGGCTGTGTCCCACGTACAGCAACTAGAAGGATGTGCAACTATGACATGCAACTATCTACTGGGGCTTTGGGGGAAAAAAAGGAGGAGGACTGGCAATAGATGTTAGCTCAGGGCCGGTCTTCCTCAGCAAAAAGAGCAGGATTAGCACGGATGTTAGCTCCGGGCTGATCTTCCCCACACACACACAAAAAACATGTTTAGAAAATACTATTTTCCAAGGTGTTTTTAAAAACTTTTCAGAGTTGCTTCTCATGGTTTGGGATTGAAAATAATTTGAGGGGATGGACTGTGAAAAGAATCTCCAACACTGTGGGCTGGGACCAGAGTTTGTAACTGGGAAGTTTATAGTGAAAGCTTTTGGCACTCCTCCTGCTTTACTGAGTCTTTACCGGGAGGTCTGGAAGGGCCAGGGACCCCGCATGTCTGCTGTAGGTTAACCCACCGGTAGAGAGCATCAGCGAGGGCCCTGGTCTCAGAGAGCCAGAACGTGACGTAGCCCAGGTCTGGGTCCACCTCCTTCGAAGCCTGCGCCCTCCCCACTGGTTCCCCAAGGTGAGGAGAAGGGGAAGGATATGTGCCTACCTCCATTTCTAAAGAACGTGCATTTGTGGCCATTTCTTCATTTCTCAGTTTTGGATACTCCCTATTGGCTTCCTCTAGTGAGAGACGACAGCACATACATCTATCCTCTCCCCTGCCCACTGGCTCTAAGGACAGTTTTCACAGGGTGCATGAGATGCAGCATTCCTCACAGGAAGCATGTAATGCATCACTAGTTTCCTTTCTGAGGAAGTCACTGCTTCTCCTGGAGGCAGTGATTGCCTTCATGTTTTCATTTGCTTCTTCTTCTGTGCTGCTCTCCTGCCTCCATTGCCCAGCCTCTAACGGGGCCACGAGGCAGCCCTGTGCCTGTCTGGATGTCGCCCCAGAGACCCTGCCCTCTGCGCAGGTGCAGTGCGGGCTGCACGGCTGGGTCCTGCACTCTCTCCCCGCTGTGTTCCCAGTGTTGTTTCAGGCGTCGGGTCTTCTCGCCCCCAATCCCATCTTCCTCTTTCATCTCCATCTTTTTGTCCAGCACATCTTCGTATAGCTTCTTGAGAAAAGAGGTGCCCAGGAGATAAATTCTGAGGCCTTGCTGGATATTTTACTCTTGTAGTTTGGCTTGCTATAGAATTTTGGATTGGAAATAATTTCCCTGTGGAGTTTTTTTTTTTTTTTTTTTAAGATTTTATTTATTTATTTATTTTCCCCCCAAAGCCCCAGTAGATAGTTGTATGTCATAGCTGCACACCCCTCTAGTTGCTGTATGTGGGACGCGGCCTCAGCATGGCTGGAGAAGCGGTGTGTCAGTGCGCACCCGGGATCCGAACCTGGGTCGCCAGCAGCGCAGTACGCACACTTAACCGCCAAGCCACGGGGCCGGCCCCCTCCCTGTGGAGTTTTTGACGGCATTGCTCATTATCTTCTAGTACTAGGTTGCTAGTGAGAGGTCTGATGCTTTCTGATTTTCTTTTGTGACTATTTTTCCCTCTCTGGAAGCTTTTTAGATGTTTCTTTATCCCTGAAGTTCAGAAGTTTTAGGGTGAGTCTTGTGAGTCCTTTTTCCCATTAATTATGCTGGGCAGAATGAAAGACAGGCCGTTTCAATCTGGAAGCTTCTGTCCCTTAGTTCTGGGGACCCTTCCTGAGCCATTTCTCTGACATGTCCTCCGCTCCCCGTGCTGCTCCTCCTGGAGCTCCTGCTCTGCCCCCGGCGCCTTGTCCACACTGCCCTGGGCCTCTGCTCTGGCTCCACCTGCTGTGACGTCCCGCCAGCTCTTCCTCCCTGCATCTTCCCTGGACCCTTGCCTGGGCTCTGTCTTTCTTGTTGGAGGTTTCCCTCAAACGGCAGGCGGTATGTCTGCTGGATGGGAGTGGTTCTCATGGCTGGCGGGCGGCTGCTGGCTGGCGTGTGGTGTGGACAAGGGCCTGTGTCGGTGGGTCTTTTCTCTAACCCGACTGACTGAATTCCCCAGAGTGGAGTCCTACCTGTCTGCCGGCATTGGGGAAGCTGCACTGGGCCGCCATGGAGCTGGCCAACCGTGGGCGCACTCCCTGTGTGTGGGCCCCTGTGTCCATGTCAGGGCTCCTTGGGCTCTGGAGAGCCCGTCTCTTCCAGGGGGGTGGAGACTGCCCACCCTCCGTCTGTGCCCATCTCTGTTGCCCCTTTCTCAGGCGCCGGTCCTTCCTGGGTTCTCCAGAGGGATCAGCCAGCTCCCGGTGTCCCCCTGGTTGGCTGTGGCCTTCCTCCCTCTGCTTTCCAGGGTCCAGTGCCTGTGACGTTTCTTTTCTGGTGCTGGCTCCTCTTCTCCTCTTTGTCCTTGAGGATGTAAACCTTTGGTTTTCTTTTTCTGTCATCTTTACGGCTTAGGATCCAGAGGAGGCAGAGGTGAACATCATCATCAGTCCACCTTTTCCACTTGTTTTCTCCATCACCTCTTCTAGAAAAGCTCTCAGGAATGTAATATTAATTCCTGACCACACTTTGATGATGGTTTTAGCATCACTTTTCTTCTCACTCCCATCTTGTACCCCAGACAGGCCACAGCTGGTGAAACCAACGAAGGTAGACACCTGGCTTAGTTGTCTGCTCTCAGCCCCCACGTAGGGGACATGGACGGACCTGGGCCTGTGTTGAAACGCCCTCTGCGAGTTGAACCTTTCTTCACAGACACCCTTTGGTGTGAAGAAGCCCGGTCTGCAGGTGCCTGTGGTTAGTTTACAGACAGAGGCAGTTCTGTAGTCTGTACACACAGGTATAGATGCAGTTTTGATCTGCTGCCGTTTTGTCCTTAAGACTGCCACCAGACTTCTAAAGAGACTCGGAACGGCTGTTGTAATCTCACTCTTACAGTGTAATGTCCCTTTGCATGTGGCACGGTGGCTGGACTGTGGGTTTCAGAGCCGCCAGCTCTGGCTCTGTGACCTGGCTGGGTGCCCAGCCTGTGTGGAAATGGCTCTGGGGTTGGTGTGCACGCGAGGACCCTGAGGCACCGGCACAGAGCCACCTCAGGATGGGAGGACATGCCTGAGGGACCCTCGCAGGGCTGGCAGCGCCCCCTACAGGCAGGTCTCAGGTCGGATGACAGTGTGGTCAGGTGCCTGCTGCCTACCTGCCAGACTTCACCTGCCTCCCTTGGGGTGGATCGGGCACTTCCCACAGCCCCTTCTCCTCGTGGGTCTCCTGAGTGGGGGTGGGTTTCAATAAATAAGCCCCCCCCGACCGTGCCGAGGAACCCTGGCCTCACCCTGAGTGGCCACATGCTGAGGCCACATGCTGGGTGTTTGGGGACTGGGCACGACCTCCCCGTCCCCAGGTTCAGCCCTTCAAAAGCACCCAGAGGCCCTGACGGGAGCTCAGGATCCAGTAACAAGTCCCAGGCCGTGGCCCCTCCTGGGGTGGGCAGCTTCCTGCCCCAACAGTGGCATCAGGAGCTCACATTTAGGGTCAAGGTCATGGGCATGTAAGAGCAGCGATCAGACGAGAACGTGATGGCCTGCGCACCCTCCTGCCCTTTGGGTTTGTGCCCTTCAGAGAATCAGATGAAATCCACAGAAAGGTGCTCACCTGTCCCACCCAGGGCACATGCAGGGGCCTCGTGGTCCCTGAGGGTGACGTTGCCCTCTTTTCTGTTCCCCTTAGAACATTTCTGGAAAAAAAATTTAAGAGGGGCCGGCCCCGTGGCTTGGCGGTTAAGTGCGCGCGCTCCACTGCTGGCGGCCTGGGTTCGGATCCCGGGCGTGCACTGGCGCACTGCTTGTCCAGCTATGCTGAGGCTGCGTCCCACATACAGCAACTAGAAGGATGTGCAGCTATGACATACAACTATCTACTGGGGCTTTGGGGGAAAAAATAAATAAATAAAATTAAAAAAAAAAATTTAAGAAATATACAAGCCCAGTCAGTACGAAAAATGAAATTGAACTTCATACATTTGATAATGTAGAAACCTTGAATGTAAGTTCTAGTAACAGTTTATTGAATTCTTACTGTGTACTATGTCCTTATTGGAGCTGTTCATATATATAACCTCATTTGAACCTCATAATATCCTGCAGTGTATAGGAGAATAAGGTTCAGAGTGGGTGAGTGGCTTTCTCAAGGTCACACAGCTTTGAGCATCAGGCTGTCACACTCAGAGCCTGGGTTGGTACATGCAGACTTCTGCTGGCTCTGCACAAATCTCGGCGAGTTTTACATACTCCAGGTAAACTAGAGCTGGTACGGTGTCACCACAACTGACAAGACTGTCTCTAGGGTGACTCTGAACGTGTGTTCGCTGAGCACCTGCTAAGGCACCAATGGCTGAGGCGTGAAGGGAGGAGCTCTGAGGGTGTGGAGCCCCAGGGGCTTTCCCAGGACCGCGGGGGCCAGTGTCCACCTGAGGCCTGGGTTGCACAGCACCCGACACGGCCCATGGGGCTGGAGACCTTTGTCCACCAGCGCTGGTGCATGGAGCTGCTGCCGCAGAGGACAGTCACGCCTGTGCGCCTTCCCGAGCTCGCCCCCGAGAGAGACTTCGGGCGATGCCCTGGGTGTGACCCCCAGCGAGACCACTGATCTCTCACCGTGACTGCTGCAGGGAGAACCTCTGAAAATCGAGTGTCAGGAACGCATGTAGGTGATGTTGTGTAGGAGTCATGATCCTAATGAGTGTTCCAGGGGCCTCCGGCAGAAGATGAGAGTGTTTCATTATCACAGGGAGGTGCGACGTCGCGTTTTACTGCCTGAGTACAAAGTACCCTCGCCCCATTAGCTGGTGGGGAAGGAGGCCTGGCCTGTCGGGCTCCAAAGAGCAGAGCGTCCTCTGCAGCCACAGAGTGCAGCCGCTGGCTCACCCTGGCCCCTCGGGAGCGGCATCCTGGCCGGAACTCCCTTTGCTGGTCACTCCGGGGTTTGTTTCTCAGCCTGACCTGGGAATGCTGGTGTTTTAAGTCACGGGCCCTTCCCGCTTCCTTTCTCTCTTGGTTCTGCCTAAGGGCCTGCTCTGGACCGGGCTCTTGTCTCTTCTCCACAGGCACCTGCACCAGTCGGGAGCCCTGACCATGGAGGCCCTGCAGGACCCTCCCCCAGACCCCATGGAGGGCATGGAAGAGGACATTGCTGACAAGGTAGGCCCTGGGCAGGGGGCCGGAGGGCCATGCCTGGGTAACATAGCCCATCTCACCTGCCCCCTCACCTCCTCCTGTGCCCTCACCTCCTCCCCACCTCCTCCCGTCCCCTCACCTCCCATCCTCCCTCACCTCCTCCTGTGCCTTCTCTTTCTCCTGTCCTCCCCCCTTGTCCTGTCCCCACCTCCTCCCGTCCCCCCTCACCTCCTCCCATCCCCCCTCACCTCCTCCCATCCCCCTTCACCTCCTCCTGTCCCTTCATTTCCTCCTGTCCTCCCCACCTCCTCCCGTCCCCTC